GTTGCTGTAGGTCTTCCATCGATGATTGGGGTAAATTTAGGCAGACAAGTAGATATTTGCGATGAGTCGTATACGTAATCTACGGGGGCTTCGAACGCTGAATAGCAAAACGGTTCCAAGTTTTCAGACTAGTAGAGACTTGACAAAGGACCAAATGCTCGAAATTTTTTCTTTTTCTTTGGAGTATGCGTGGGCTCAGAAGCACATCGAGATCATCAACGAACTCGACTTGTATCATTCAGCAGCATGATAGATTTTGTGATCTAAAGCTATTTCAACCTTACCTAGTCATCATTAATAGATGACTTATGATCATCATAGTATAACGATGAACGATGGCTCCACAAACAATACTTGTTGCAACAAGCTTGGGATGCGGGGGAACTTTGATTTTCATCGCTTAATTCCGAATCACTAGTTCCATAGCAGCCAATCCCAAAACAAAGAACTAATGATTCATAACTTTGACCGAAGCAGATAGAAACCGCAGTCTTCGGATTGATTTAGCAAACACGTTCTATGCAAAATTCGTGTCCCAGCGGGTTCGGAAACTGGAGTTTCTGATATGTCATTGATACTCAGTTCAAAATGCTATACCGAACGGCTGGTTGAACAAAGATGAGTCGACGAAAAGGCCAGTTTCAGCTGAACTCCATTTCAAAGTATCTATTTATACAAGAAAACCAAATCAAAAGACGAGATATTTAACCAACTTGTAAAGTGTTTCTCATCCAATGGGTCTGTAACACAACAATTATAAATCCAGACTGTCCTTCTGATCGATGGCGTATCACTTACCGGTCCCACAATTCGATTCTCACTGATTAAATCACCCCGGCCCCAAAGCCAGGAGATCAAACACAGGTGGTATCAGAAGGATCCCCACATCCGCATCGAAGGGAACAGCAGACTCCGGGGTTACATCCACCGGAACAGGGGCATTGACGAGCTTCGAGGTTGCTTATACCACTACAACGAGTTGATTTAATTACTATATTATCATTACCAGAAAATCGGAGACTCAGAGGTCTAGACTTACCCAGGGACAGCGCTACCTGCAGCGGAAGCAATAAAGAGAGCAGCGATGATAGTGACGATGGACGATACAGCGCGCATGATAGACGAGTTTGAGAAGAATTTGGATGTCTAATTTTGCGAGGGAGTTTAGCTTTTATAAAATCTACTAACTACGAGGTTGCTTATTTTCTGCATGGTCGCACGCCGCCCACTGGTAAGTATGCACTGGTTGCTGCAGGTCTCCCGCTGATTCTCCACTCGAACGTTGGAGAGCAGTTAACGTTGCCAGTGAGTCCAAAATTCTGCATGGAGCAGGGATAAGGATCTTTACAAAGCAGCGTCACGGTTGGAACTATTAATATACTTGAAATTAAGTTTAAATAAATCACCACACGAAAACTCGAGGTGTTTGAGATGACCCCACGTACGTCCGACGAGTAATAATTCTTGAGCGGGAGAATCCCGATTATCTATCACTGTAGCTCGCCGCAAAGCATTGAAGTATGTAAATGGCTCATAGCTTAGACCAAAGCATAACGAGCATAGAAGGTAGATCAAACCAATGATGCTCCAAAGAGAATTGGAGTTTTTGAAGGCAACGAACGCGCGCGGAACAGGATCCGCTTCAAATTCAAACAAAAGGATCATATCGTGCATTTGCGCCAAGCGCCCATGCAGATAGAATCCGGTAGTGATTCAAGAAAGTGTCATCTAGAGAATAAAGTCCAGTACTTACAATGGACCCTCTAGAATCGAGTTCGATAAATAAGTTAATTCAGCCCCAGAAAATCGTAGATAGCGCAGCACTCAATGACTATCACACTGGCAGAGGTGGGGCCTGCATGCATCGTGACTTTCCCAGGCGGCTAAAGAACAGTAGGTTGTTGCGCAGAATCAGACGTAAACCATATTGAATCCCAATTGTTTGCAATTGGTATGTTGCCTGATTTACTACGCGGCTTGGACCATTGAGAGCAGAAGCAGAAAGAGCCGAGACTTCATACTTTCTCAAGGTGGTATCACGGAATTACATCTTTTCGGGGCGTCCGTGAAGCTGAAATTGAGGTCAATTCATAAATCCATGGAAGGGTGGTTATAGACTTGGGGAATAAAAATATGCCACTCTAGTCGTATTGATGACCACCGCAGGGGTCGAACCTGCAATCTCCTGATCCCGAATTATAACCTAAATCGTAGTCAGACGCGATGCCATTTCGCCAGGCGGCCAATGTAAAATGATGCGAATGGCACAAGCAGACCAGAGCGAACCAGAACGTAAATGAGCATACAGGACAGCGGCCGCCGAACGTTCGAGTACATCCTCGGATGTTCGGTAGCCTCGGTAGTTCTTTCGTTAGCAAGAATCCGTAAGAGCTGCAGAAACGTAAACACGTCGAGTGCGCCCCTTGCCAAAAAATTTCCGATTGTTGACTACCAGGTACCAGGGCAAGTCCAGGGGTAGTGTATGCTGAGACATTATCCAGGCACAATGTAGGCGTACCTCCTCTCTGTCTTCTCTCTATCTCTATCTCTGTTCGTTCATAGTCGCCGTTGTCGAAAAGGAAAGAATAATTTCGGAGATCTCGGCTCGGGTGTTGACCACGTTTCTTCGTTATTTCATCACGCGACCGACGGCGAAACTCTTTCGACATCGTTTTCATTTTCGTTTTCAGTTTCTTTTCCCTATTTTCTCTACTTTTTCTATCTTTCTGAGCTACGATGGTAAGTCTCTTTCAAAAGTCATTTCAAAACCAACTAAAAATGCATCTAGTTATCAGACAACATCGAAGCCCTAGTCCTCTCCGGCGAACTCTTCAACCCCTCCTCCTCAAACTCCCGTCCATCCTCCCCACACGACTCTGACCATTCCAACAATGACGAAGAAGACAAGGGCTGGCACGACGAAGAGCTCAAAAACAAGCTCGCTTCCGACACCAACCTCCCCGCCAGCGGGAACCCCAACCCCAACCCGAGTATAGGCATGGGTCCAGGTCGTACAGGTGTCAAAGGCGTCATTCGTGACGAGCAAGAATCTCGTGCGCTGGAATCTGCGCAGAGGAGGAAGGAGATTGAGGAGATGAATAAGAAGATGGAAAAGGCGAATCTTGGAGGAAAGACTTACCTTGAGGAAGAGAGAGAGCGGGCGAGGAGTATACTCAAGCAAGGCGGGGATATCGAGAAGGCCGGTATTGATCCTCTCATTCTAAGGGAACTCTCTTCTCAACGTCAAACACGAGAAAAGGAGAGGGGGGATAGAGAGAGGACAGACGTATTCGGCCGTGCTAAAGAAGGTCGTTTCGGGCACCTTCGCGAAGTGGGCGTCCACAACTTTGTTTCGGCGGTGGAAAAGGAGGCAAGGGGAGTCTGGGTCGTCGTGCATCTATACGAACCCTCCCTGGACAGGTGTTTTGTCTTGGATGACACACTGGCACAGTTGGCAAGGGTGTATCCTGATACAAAGTTTCTGAGGTGTAGAGCAAAGGCGTTGGGTTTTGCTTCGTCTCCGAGCTCAAAGCCTCTGAAGACGAGAGGGGGATTTAACCGACCGCTTAGGAGGCTTAGGGAGGATGAAGATGAAGATGAACTGGGCCTTGATGAGCCGCCATCACCCTACCAGGACGAGCCGGATCCTTATTCGGATGAAGATGACGACTCGGTGGACACCGACGTACTCCCTACGGTCCTCGTCTATCGTGACGGCGAACTCGTACATAATTGGGTTAGGGTTGATTGGGAGGCTGCCAGAGAGGGTGCTGGGGGAGGAGGATGGGAGGCAGGTGTGGAGGAATTGTTGGAGAAGCATGGTATTCTGCCGAATAAGAAGATATCGACCTCTATATTCTCCAACCTGGGGCTTGCTTCGGATGGAGAGGATGACGATGACGAATTGGATGAAGAGCTGTTTTGGAGCGAGAACGAGAGGAAGTAGGATATTGTCTTCTCTGTGGATCTTCTTTCTTTTCATTCTGTCATCTACCTGTTCATATCTCCAGCAGTTATCTCACCTATCCTATCCCCGTTCTTTCTAGTCTCATTTCCTGTCCATTCATCTACGCTGTCGTTCTCTTCTCTCGTTCCTCATATCTCTCATCTATCCTATCTTCTATACTCGCTCTTTCTCGTTCTCATTCCTCTCCGTTTCCCTCCCATTCCTCTCTCGTCTCCTCGCAACACACATAGAATTTTCCATCAAACCAAACCAACGAAACCGTGTACATACAGGACTTGTACAATACATACCGAATACCAATTATATCGCGCTGACGCGGACTCGATTAACAAATCGCCTTTGTTTCATTTTTATTCTCATACCTGTCCAACGCAATGGGACCAGTCTTTTCAGACCTCGCCCTTACTATGTACCCTCACTCTCGTCACACCAACTGTCCGTGTACTAATCCTAACGTGTCTAGCCCACACTTGTACTGGCCGAGTCCTCCGACCGGGGAATCCTTAGTCTGTCCTGAAAATCAATCAGTCGTGTGCCCTATTACGTCCCCGTTCTCGTCCCCGTTCTCGTTACTATTCGTTTTACTAACTAACTAACCCCCACTCATCTACATACGTACTTGTGTATGTACGCATGCGCTGTACCTGCGCGTTTACGACGCCGCGTCGCAGAATCTCCGAGTCATTACGGGAATGTGGCAGGCCTATAGCCAGGTTCATTCGTCCTTTTGGTTTTTTACTAGTACCTTTGATCTACTTGTGGTCCCCTCTAGGAGCAGACTTTTAGTGTCGACTCTAGCCCCAGACCGCCTACCATGAATGTAGGTAGGCTAACCTGAGGTAGATTACACGGCTACCGCAATATGCTTGGTGCCAATGAACCCCTTTCTTATGTCTTACATCCTGGCTCCACCTGTCCGTTTGTTCATACTCAGGCTGTCCTTCTCAATCTTACCTCGTCCCTTCCTTCCTTTTCTCCCCCTTCCTCTACCAACGGCGTCCCCAAACCCCAGCCCTTGCTTAAGCCCACGTCTGGTCTAATAGTGTAGTGGTTAGCACATGGGATTTTGATAACCGTGCGTTGGCTGTAAAGTTTGTTCTTCCCATAACCCAGGTTCGAGTCCTGGTTAGACCTCTCAACACTTGTGCATTCTGCCTACCATTTTTACTTCAATGTTTGTTTATGTTTTGTGCAATACTTGCTAGTGGCTCTGGTTATACCTAGTATTCTTTTCTTTTCTGAACCTGTACCCTTTCTGTTCTTCTTCATCTAATTTGCTATTCTTCTTTTTCTACCTTCCAGCACTCTTTAAAATCTACTTCATTACCATTGTCAGTGCTGGGTCTAATAGTGTATTAGTTAGCATGTGGGATTTTGATTAAAATCAGCTCTAGTGATTACCTGTAGCCCAGGTTCAAATCCTACCTTGCCTGCTGCTAAATATTTTGGATGTTGCTAAACTTGAGGAGGCTCTGATGTTTTTAAATAGTTTCGTGAAGTTTCATGAAATTTATTTTCGTTCAAATTAAACTCTATAAACCACCAAAAACTATCTTTCCAAGTTTTCATATGATTAAAGCACTATCTAAGAGACATGTATAACGAAGTGTTTGGGGCCGGATCAACATCTGAACCTTCTTATTTTCTAGTTCCTTCACTTAATTGCTATTTTAGTCATCCAAAATCCTCCAAATCACCAAAACCCCCGAAAACTTCAGAAAACAACAGGGGTTCCCACTGGCCCGAGTTGAAAAGAGAACGGGATGAAAAAATCATGACACCCTACATGAAACATGCAGCTTGAACACAGTGTTATGCACCAGTATGATGTTATCGGGTGTTACTATGGGCTTCAATAGGATATATTGTACAGGGGTTACATGCTTACTGTGTACTGACCTAGGCTCTGTCCTCTAAAAAGTTTTCGGGTGGGCCTAGAGAAATTTTCTGACTCATAGTTTTTTAAAATATCATTATCTGTAATTTCAATATAGGAGAAATAATTAAATATAGGAAACGGGTAAAAATTAAAATAGGCTTTCTTTCAAATTCATTTTGATTAGCAATTCTACTTCTAAATTTTGAATATTACCGAATCTAGTTTTTTTTTTAAAAAAAAAATTATTATTTCTAGTGATTTTCTTCGAGATCTGGCAATTGAAATTTAATGCTATAAAATAATGAAAGAGGTATTTCTACACATTCTAGTCTAGCAAGTTTGGTAATTCCTTGGCGCGTCGATCAAACTTGTTATGTGACATATCATCTGCCAGGATCATTCGAATATTTGATGTAACTTGTGGCGCATTCTCTGTTCCCTCGCTGTTAGGGAAACTCCTTCTGCTAAAGATTCATGGTCTAAATTGGTCCACTTCGGTAACAGACTTGGGGCGAGAAATACACCTGGTCTCGTAACGGCCGCTCGGTAGAATGGACGTAATCTCAAGTGGAATCAGGTTTTCAGGTTTGACTTCTGGTAATCTTTACTGCCAAGAGGGCAATTTTCTCTCTTTTTATTTTTCCTTTCTTCTTTTCATGAATGTTGTATAGTAGGTTGATCAACTGACGGGAAATAATTTTGGGTATGAGCGCTTGTCGGGCTGGTATTAGTTCCCGCAATATATGGTGACTCGACGCTCTTGAACCTTTTGTCCTGGTGGCTCCGTAGCATCAATATGAAGTAAAACGGTGGATTCCTTTTGCCGCACTCCATTCTGCCAACACATTGTTTACAGTGTAATATGTACTTAGTTTTAGCCGCACAAACTACCTTTTTACCCAGCGCTCCTACATTCCTATCTTCTAACTCCCCTGAGCGGGATTGTATTACATTTTGGGTCTTAAGTAATTAATGGTTATCCTCAATTATAATATTTACATCGATAAAGCAGCGGAATGATATTGAGTGCCACTACGGTACAAAAGTAGTTAGAAGATTGCAGATTTGACCCGGCGGTAGTCATATTTATAATGTGTCAAAGGCGTTAAATCTGTATCTGATTTTCATAAGATATACATTATCAAATAGTAATGATGTGTACTGACCCTGGTTGCATGTAAGTGTTGTAACATAGGTGCGAGGTCCTGTAATTCACTAGAAACTGCTATGATTAATGGGTGCACAGTAATGAACCGCATTCGCAACGATGTGATTATTTTTGTGAACTTACTAGTGGGAATAGGTCTACCACTAACCCTTGACCAATTGATAATCTCATAGGTTGAGATGAAACAAATGGCCTGAAGCACCATAATTAAAGGCAAATTTTTTAGCAGTGCTTCAATCATTCCCCTACTCACATTGATACCATAATATCCACACTATGAAATATAAATTTATACATATTGTCTTCATTAGCATTCACGTCCTTTTAATGCTTTTGCAATACCTACTTCCCAACGATGCTTCAATGCTAGTGTTTGCCTCAAATTCTTGAAACACATAAACAAATTACACTACGTTCAGACCCAGATACGGGAGGAACTTTATTACAGCTGAAAGTTGGAAAACCATTGTATCTAATTCCTTACCTGTCTGGAACTGTTGAAGTGTCCGTCGTACCCACCCTGTTTGAGTAATCAAACTTACGATACATTAGGCCACATTTGCAACGTAAGAATCGGATGTTTTATTGAGTGAGAAGTGGTCCAATTTTATCTGAAAAGTACAGCTTGAATGCTCGTTACAGTCAATTCACTTTACCCGAGTTTCGACTCCAGTTCTTATTTCTCTTCTTTTCTTTCTCTTCAGTAGGACTTTGATTCCGATGATGTTGCAGATGCAGCCTACAATGGGAATTCAATCATCAGTGAGAGATTTGATTGAATTCAAGTTTAAAACCGCTATCTATGCACCCTATTTCTCATACTCATCTATAGCTCCACATTGTTGGATTCACATAACGTTTGACATTGAGATCTTACTACCAAACACTGCGTAATAGCCCGTGGTCCTAGCATGTTTACTAACAGTGTTTGCCAAAGTAACAGACCATCCTTGCTTACTCGGTCCATTTTATGAACACGTTCCCTTATTCTTTCACTGGCAGTGGAGCGTATGCATCTTCCGTTAAACATACGGCTTAGTAACTATCATCTATTTTAAGGTTCAATTCTCACCACCTCCCTCCACCTCTCTTGGAATTGGCATTGAGCTGATAGCTCTGTGGCATTATGATCATCAGTACTAGAGCTATGCATAGTATACGGCGAGGTTTTGGTCTCTAGCATTCCCGCTGTGACAACTGTGCCTGTGGCACAACATAGGTCATATTTCTGAACAACTATCTATTAACCATGCCGACAGAGTTCTACACTTGGAGTATTTGATATATTGGGCCATTCTGAGAAGTGTCCTTCCCGCTGATCGAGCACGAGACCAAGTATAGATAGGTTGGTCAAGACAGATTCCTTATTAGGATTTTGCAACGGCCGCAGAAGGTTGAAGAAACACCGCTGCAAGACATTTGATCCCGGAAGAAGACGTCGGCACGAATGTAAGAATTGAATCTGTACTTACGAACGCATCAAGGCCATCATGACCATGGATATCAGAATAGGAGCAAGGACCGGCCCATTCAATTTGCCGACAACCTGAGCCAATTTATTTACCGTTTGAATCTGGCCCACTTCATTTTCACGCCGTTCAATGAATTTCTACCTCTTTCCTTCCGACTTCCACCACCAAAAATCATGCACCCTCTTTTTCAAATCCCTGAGCTCCTTTGGGTTATCTTCCAAAACTTGCCCCGCCAAAGTCAGGTTCATTGTGCGCAAGTATGCCGGAGTTGGTTCGAAGTCGCGTTGGACTTGATTTGGTACAAAGTGGATAACTTGCCCGGGGTCGCTAAGATCCTCGCGCCGGTGAAGAGAAAGAGGAAATCATCAAGCTCAGGGGATTTAGATTCATATGTAAGTACCTGCGCGTTGCTTACGGCTGCGAGTCTGTTGGTTAATCTTATCGAAAGGAATTCGAGGAATGTCCTCTCGAACAAAAAGTTTGGTCGCGTTTCGAGGCGATGTACTCTCATCGCGTTCGTGAACTCGTTCATGGCCGGAGAATCACTGGAGATTGCACACCTCTTCTACAAGGAATCCAGTATACTCAGCAGGAATTAGGATCATCTCCTCAAATCTTCCCCAACCTCCATACCGTCACATGGGAAACGTCTGAGCAAGCCCGCACTGAACTATGCGGTCTAATCACATTCATGCACGATGGTGTCAGGAAATGCACCATCTGGTGCGATACATCTGAGGATCCGGAAGCAGTTACGGTCTTGATGGAAGCCATTCAATCCCGAGCCCCTTTTCTCGCTTTCTTGGACTTTGATTTCGTCCTCGAGCCGGATTTAGTAGAACCCCTAGCCATTTTTTTGGCAAATCTTCCCCGTCTCACATATGTCAAAATTCCATCTTTTGAAGATGTCTCTCGGATCATTTCTAGCCTAAGCAAATCGTGCCCAAATCTCAGAACACTCAAGATCTGGGGCAATTCAGAAGAGCGGGATGATATTCAATTGGAATCCGTTGCTCGCATAGCGAGTAACCGCGGCATAGAGGCTCGGCAAAAGGATACGTTTTCTTCCTTGGAGAACCTTACGGTAACTGTCAGTGAATACTCGACGATATGTCCTCTCCTGAGGCAACACGATCTTCGTTCCTTGAACTCCATAAACCTTTGCATCTCCCCCGTCGGCGAGGTGACGGGTGTCCGAACACTCTTCCAAACCATCTCGCAGGAATGTCCTGGGATTACATACCTCACACTGAGGTGGGATTCTTATCCTGATGATAGGGACGACATCCTTGTCTTCGAGGACATCCATGAAATTTTGGCGTGCAAAAAAGTCCTCGATTTCACCTTCTATGCTCCATATGCTTTTGACTTGACGGATGCGGACGCAGAACAGATTGCCCTGGCGTGGCCACAGATACAAAAAATCGTGCTCTGTCCATATCCTATCGGAAGGACCCGTCCCGTGGATAAACTCAGTCTTTATGCTGTCTTTCTTCTTACACACCTTTGTCCAGATCTCCAAAACGTGGGATTATGTATCAACACCAGGCCGATTAATACACCTCAGTTCACCATCGACTCTTTGCCCACTCGAAGAGGTGCTGAAGTTGCAGAT